TTAGGCAACAGAATAAGCAACATATTTATGGTCCATTGCAGATCAGTGTTCGTCGGGCCTATATTTTGGAGGATTCATATAATCAGTTGCGTAAACGTCCAACTCAAGATTTGAGAGGACGGTTGACTGTGCAGTTTCAAGGTGAAGAGGGTGTTGATGCGGGTGGCCTGACAAGAGAATGGTATCAGTTACTTTCAAGGGTTATTTTTGACAAGGGAGCCTTGCTATTCACTACAGTTGGAAATAATGTAACTTTCCAGCCAAATCCAAATTCTGTCTACCAAACAGAACATCTTTCCTACTTTAAATTCGTTGGCCGTGTGGTAATTGACTAAAACTTGGATTCTGATATTTGCTAGGATTATTTTGCTGTTTCAATTTGACTTATTATATTTTCAATTTTATGCAGGTTGCAAAGGCCCTGTTTGATGGGCAACTTTTGGATGTTTATTTCACAAGATCTTTCTACATGCACATTCTTGGGGTTAAGGTGACTTACCATGATATAGAAGCAGTCGATCCTGATTATTATAAAAACTTGAAGTGGATGCTGGAGGTGGGTTGATTTTCTGTGTTAATTACAGTTAAACTTGATTTTATGTTATATTGTCCACTTTGGTGGGTGGGCTTCCCCAGAAGGCCTCATACCAATAGAGATGTATTCCTTACTTATAAACTCATGATCATCCTCTAAATTAGCCAATGTGGGACTCCCTCCCAACAATCCTCCCCTCAAACAAAGTACATCATAGAGCCTCCCCTGAGGTCTATGTAGCCCTCGAATAGTCTCCCCTTAATCGAGGCTCGACTCCTTTCTTTGGAGTCTTCGAACAAAGTACACCCTTTGTTCAACACATGAGCCACTTTTTTACTATACCTTCGAGGCTAGCAATTTTTTTGTTTGACACTTGAGCATTCTATTGATATGGTTAAATTAAGGGCATAACTCTGATACCATGTTAGGAACCACAACCCTCCACCATGGTATGATATTGTCCACTTTGAGCATAAGCTCTCATGGTTTTGCTTTAGGCTTCCCTAAAAGATCTCGTACCAATGGAGATGTATTCTTTACTTGTAAACCCATGATTATCCTCTAAATTAGTCAACGTAGGACTCCCTCCCAACAATGCTCAACAAAACATGGGTTTTTTTTTTTTTTTTTTTAACATTTTATTTCCTAACTCTTGAATCTCTCTGTCAGAACGATGTGAGTGACATTCCTGATCTTACATTTAGCATGGATGCAGACGAGGAGAAGCACATTCTTTATGAGAAAAATGAGGTCATAATCCAAAAATTTGGACACCTGTCAATCCTGTTTTTGTGTGTGTGGTAAATGCTTTTCTTTTTGGAATGAATTCTGGTACTACTTAGTCTTTTTAATATTCTTTTCAAATGTTTAGGTCACTGATTACGAGCTTAAGCCAGGAGGAAGAAATATAAGGGTTACTGAAGAAACAAAGCATGAATATGTAGACCTTGTCGCAGATCATATTTTAACCAATGCTATCCGCCCTCAGATTAACTCATTTCTAGATGGTTTTAACGAGCTCGTGCCTCGAGAACTTATTTCTATTTTTAACGACAAAGAGCTTGAGTTACTCATCAGTGGGCTTCCAGAAATTGATTGTGAGTTCTTTTATACAAAATAATTTTGTGTTGTCTGGTGTTTTCGGGTTACTATATGAGGTTTTAATCTTTTTTATGTTGTCTTTCAGTGGATGATTTGAAGGCAAACACAGAGTATACTGTCTACACAGCTGCATCAAGTGTTGTGCAGTGGTTTTGGGAGGTAGTTAAATCCTTTAGTAAGGAAGACATGGCAAGATTGCTGCAGTTTGTGACTGGAACATCAAAGGTAATGGCAAAATAAAATGTTGTTCAAGTCTGTTTGATTATCTTTTCTATAAGATTTCATCAACATTTTTAATGTTTCCCTCATGGTTGGTCCCAATCTGATGCTTGAAATATTGCCCTTTCTGTGGATGTTTGAAATGGTTGGTGTATGTTTAGTCTTTTTAGTCTCGAGCATCGTGCACTTGTAACATCTTGGTTCGCAAGTAAAGAGATCTTGCCACACACACAAACACTAATATTTTCTTAGCATAATGATTTTTTCTTGAAGTCATCATTTATTTGTGATTTTTCAGGTTCCACTGGAGGGTTTTAAAGCTTTGCAAGGTATCTCTGGGCCTCAAAGGTTTCACATTCGCAAGGCATATGGAGCTTCTGATAGGTTGCCATCAGCCCATACATGGTGGGAATCTAAATGCCGTTCTATCCGAATTCTTATTTATGCATTACTGTTCCTATTGTTGGATGTTGGATGAAAGCCCTACATCGGCTAATTTAGGGAATGATCATATGAGTTTATAATCAAAGAATACTCTCTCCATTGGTAGGAGGCCTTTTGGGGAAGCCCAAAGCAAAGCCATGAGAGCTTATGCTCAAAGTGGACAGTATCATACCATTGTGGAAAGTCGTGTTCATCTAACATGGTATAAGAGCCATGCCCTAAACTTAGTCATGTCAATAGAATCCTCAAATGTCGAACAAAGGACTCCAAAAGAAAAAGGAGTCGAGCCTCGATTAAGGGGAGGCGTACTTTGTTCGAGGGGAGGTGTTGGATGTTGGTTGAAAGTCCCACATCGGCTAATTTAGGGAATGATCATGGATTTATAATCAAAGAATACTCTCTCCATTGGTATGAGGCCTTTTGGGGAAGCCCAAAGCAAAGGCACGAGAGCTTATGCTCAAAGTGGACAATATCAACCATGGTGGAGAGTCGTGTTCATCTAACACCTATTCTATTGTTTTTTAGGCATTCAATCTTCTGAGAAATATTCGTGTCTTCCAGCCTTAACGAACAAGTTCTCACATCCTTTCTTTCAGCTTTAATCAACTAGATCTTCCCGAGTACTCATCGAAGGAGCAGCTTCAGGAACGCTTGATGCTTGCCATTCACGAAGCCAATGAAGGATTCGGCTTTGGTTGAGCCACGGTTCGATTTGCATTTGGAGACAAATGTTATCTGAAATTGCCATGTACATGTTAGTGAAATACAAAATTGATGGGCAGCCCCGGCATTGGAAAACTTGCGAGGATCGATCGGGTTCTCTGGAAGATAAATAAAAAGCTTGCGACCGAGCAGACAGATTACTGTGGGTTTGTTTGAAGACTTTGACGTGCAGATCACTCGCTCCTCTTGCAGCCAACAAACTAAACTACGTCTGATGAGTAGTCAACCTTGTTATGTTTGTGTATATAAACGTCAGGTTGGTAATAAAAACACTGAATGTATATCTTTTTCTGAATGGATTTCTCATATTCTTCAATTTTTAAAAGCAAGTTTGAAAAGCATGGCTTAAACTTCGTCCTCAATCATTTTGGTTTTTTGTTTTACAGGTGGTCAGATTTGGTAGAAAACAACAGAAACAAGCATAGCCATAGCCAGCTTGAGCTTGTTCCTAGGGATTATATGTGAGCTTTTTGTCCTTATTTCAAGGGCCATTGTTATTGCCACTGTTCTTAGTTTCTTTCTTTTAAATGATTGGTGGGGAGGTAAAGGGATTTTGTGTTTAATAATTCTACAACTTTGTATATTGGTATTCGTAATTCTTTTTCTTATTGGTTTAATAAGAAAAAAAAAATGGACTGAAAAAGAAGGTATTGTACCCAATGTGTCTTCGTAATTCTTTTATTTGCTCCTTTAGGGTTTAGGGTTTGGACTGTTGGGAGTAAGCCGTAGCCCCGTGGGCTACTCGAGAGTGAAACCCGAAATTGAGACCTGATGGTTCGTCTTCTTCACTTGAAAGTGTAGAATGAACTCTCGACCTTCCCTTCGTTTATTCGACGATGTTTCGATGATTTTCACGCCGTTGTCGTTTCCAATGCAGTTTGTCCATTCCTTGTTTGTACAACAACTCCACAGTACTACTATGATGATTTTGACGCCGTTGTCGTTTCCAATGAGATTTCTTCCTTTGCATTGTCTCTCTCGAATTTTATTCCCAGTCTTGATTGCATATAAGTAGAACGTTTGGGTTGGTATTGAAAGTGTGAGACGGAAGCATTTCACCACGTTGGAAATCTCGATTTGCCAAAAGGTTTGAAACAAACAGCTACATTCTTTTTATTCCATTTCAATTTGATTTCGTCTGATTTTAAAAGTTTCAACTTAAATGTCTAAATCTTTTTAAAATGTTCTTTAAAAATAAAACCAATGCCTAACAAATATGCATGTATTTTAAAAGTTTCAAACAGCATTTCACCATGACCATTCTCTTGTGTTGACTTTTATGTTCTTTATTTTTTTTTGTTCCTTGATTATAACTGATGCCTAAATCCAGACCTTTTTAAATATGAATTTTCAAAATTAACATCAATACCCTTAAACTTTTAGAAAAAAAAAGTGAAAAAGTTTGGAGGTAATCTATAATCTTTGAAATATAATAGTTCGTGGCATCGTACATTAAGAACTTTTTTAAACATTTCTTTTATAAGGGTTAAGATTGTTAATGTTACTTTTGCACTTACAGTCATGTCATGCGCATGCAGTTGCAACTTTATTTTTAGTAGAAAAATCGATGCCATGAACTTTAAATATTCGTAACTAAAATCTTAAAACAAAACAACTATAAATAAATAACATGAAATTTAAATAAAACAAATCTCTAAATCTTCAAGCGAGTCGTGTGAAAGGCAGCAAATGTTATAACTTAATAAGCCAAAAGACAGACTTTATAACAAATCCAACTCCCTACTTTCTCCTTGAGACAACTTTTATTTTTAATTTTAATTATAAGGTATTAGGACTTTTAAAATTTCATAGGTCTTTTTTTTAATATTATTTCTGAAATAAAATATTAATAGAAAAAAAATCAACTTTTTTTTAAAAGAGTTTTAAGATTATTATGGAAAATTTGTTATTTTTAGCTTTTTAATTAATTTAGCCGATATTTATTATTATTATTATTAATTATTTAGAATCGAAATAAAAGGCAGCAGTTGGAGGCCGATTTGGCATAAACAAAATCTCTTCTTCTTGTCTCTCTTGCTCGCTCCTCTCCTTCTCCTGGTGTCGCCATCCTCTTTCTTCCCTTCTTCCGTTCTTCGTTTTGGCCGATTATCTTCTCCTTTTTCCCATTTTCTGCAATCATGGCGGTATGTCATTCCTCAATTCATTCCATTTACTTCCCCGAATTCGGTTTTGTTCTTTTGCTTCATTGTGTCGATTTCCCCATTTCGTCATCTCCTTTCTTTCTTCCTTTTAGATTCACTGCCTCGATTGTTCCCCCTTTTTTCCTGGAGATTTGCTTGATGCTTGTCATGCCTGGATTTTCTTCCTCATTATCATTATTATTATATGTTTTATTTCTTCCTCTTTTTTGAATTCAAATGATTTATTTATAATTTTTGTGATATGTTGTGAATCTGCATTTTCTCTCCAGTCTGATCTTATCATCTAGTGTGTTAGTCACTGGGACTCGACATTTTCGTATGTTTGAATTGAATTTCCGTTATCATGCCCAAGTATTTGTAATTGATTGAATTCTGATAGACGAAGGGTATTTAAAATTTAAATCAGCTGTGAAGAAACATTTTTAGTTTTTCCCATCACCTTCTCATCTTTTTATCTCGCAATTCCTTCGTCTAATTTATGGTTTCTGCTATTAATTATGAATCATCCTATTTTTATATCATTAATGGAAGAAAAAGCAATAAGTCCTTCAACTTTTTACTTCGAAATCCATGATCTATATTTTAAGTGACTAAACGTTCAGAATTTGAATCCTTATTTTCATTATTCATTGTTGACTGCTTTTAAATTTGGTCTGTTAAACTTTTCAATTTGGTCTTAAAATTTGGATTACGCTTTTCTCTAATCCCTTCCATTGCATTATTAATAGAAACTGATGTAGAAGATATATTACATAAATTTTCGTTGGACATTTCATTAATATTGTTAATTGTTAATGATGGGGACATGATATAAGCATAATGTATGCATTTTAATGTCTAGAATCAAATAAATGTATGTATTTTAACAGGAGAAGGGTCAGCCACTACCGAAGTTTGGTGAATGGGATGTTAATAACCCTGCTTCTGCAGAGGGCTTCACTGTGATCTTTAATAAGGCAAGGTGTGAGAAGAAATCCGGTGGCCAAATCGGATCACCTGGAAAGGCACTAAGGCCTGCAGCAGCAGGCTCTGGCAAACCTCAGGCTGTAAGATCCTATGAACACAATGTTTTTTCCTAGCCTTTTCTATAATGCCTGCTATATGTGTATATACCTCCTCTTCATTGTAATATTTACTGCTCGTTTGTGCGCCTAAATATGTTCGGAATACCATTAGGATAAAAGGGTTGGTTGTAACTCGAGGGAATGGGATCGAAAGAGATGAAGGTAGATCGTTTGTTGGTTTTGGATGAGTACGAATATTCTTGAAGGCTGATCCCTGCCAATCACTTCCTTTTATATTTCGATATTATTTCAGTTATTTGGTTTCTATGAAAATATTAACTTTCTTCTAAGAGTTATCTTATAATGGACTTCTGTGCTTGTTTGATCATTCTTCATTGAAATGAAATAGATGTTTTTGGACTTTGGAATGATGCTCAAGCACTGTTTTTTGCTTCTTTTGGTTTAATCAACAATCAGTGAGGTGAAATGAAATTGATGCTTGTTTGATCATTCTTTATGAGCTGTTACACCTTTCCTTGATGGGATTATGTTTTTTTCTGTTCCAGAAATGGTTCTGCTGCATTCAGAGCCCACCTACAGAATCTTGATGGTACTACCTGTCTGTAGATAACCACCGAAACGGCCTAAGATCGTCCACTGGTCTTCGAAGAAGATGAGATTTTCAAAGCTGTGATCATCAGCCTGCTATACTATTTGCTTCATAATCTGGGTCATGGAGGAAAAAGGTAGAACAATTTTACCTTCTTTGTTTGTGATACTGATATGATAAATTGTCACTAGAAGCTGAGCTATTCCATCTCATTTGTCTCTACCTCCTTTTTGCCCCTTTTTGCCCCTTATATCTTATATTCAATCTCTATTATTCTTTCTGAAATGGCTTCTCTCTCTCTCTCTCTCTCTCATTTCATTTTCATGTGCAGAATATTCTCGGTTACTCGAAAAAACCCCTTAGAGAAACTCCATGCCTCAGCCCATGAATCTCGAGAATCGAGTGTAGATCACATTTTCATGCTTCCTAAACCATGGAGTATAGTTTTTATGTTGAAATTATTGACAAAAGTTAGAAGTGAGGACTTAAAATGGTGCATGAGACATTTAGAAAGTAATTATCGAACCACTCACAAACCAAACATGATGTGCTCTATAGTTTCAGAAAGAAAAAAAAAACAGAAAAAACAATGGAAAACTCTTCAGCCTTTGCATCACTTGTTCTGCCATCCTCCTTATACCACTAGCCAGAGTTTGAATCTGCCATAGGAGTTTGATTATAGGTTCCCGACCTTCTTCTCGAATAGGCGTCGTAAGAGGAAAACTTGTAGACTGCTCACACCGACGAGTACTGCTGATTCGAATATGGCCTTCTGAATTTCCCTTATGCTAATTGCTTCAATCACTGCAAGAATTTATTGAAAACACTCTCAAGCAAACAATAGGGTTTATAAAGCCTTGTGGTTATATTAATACCTTTGGCCTGTTGCTCTGTCTGTGCCTCAAAACGTTGTTGCTCAAACTCAACAATTTCCAGTTTGTCTCTCAGCCTCTGTATTTGCTCAAGCAAATGGCTCAAATCTTCTGAAAATGTCATTTCAAATAGAACATCAATGGATTTGTAACCGCCTTGTAACCGCCCATGCCCACCGCTAGCAAATATTGTCCTCTTTGGACTTTTCCTTTCGAGTTTCCTCTCAAGGCTTTAAAACGCGTTTGCTAGGGAAAGTTTTCCACACCCTTATAAAAGGTGTTTAGTTCTCCTCCCCAACCAACGTGGGATATTACAATCCATCCTTTAAGGCCTAGCATCCTTACTGGCACATCGCCTGGTGTCTTGCTCTGATACCATTTATAACGGCTCAGGTCTACTACTAGCCGATATTGTCCTCTCTAGGCTTTCCCTTTCGAGCTTTCCCTCAAAGCTTTAAAACGTGTATGCTAGGGAAAGTTTTCCACACCCTTATAGAGGTGTTTCGTTTTTCTCTCCAACTAACGTGGGATATCACAGAATCAAATAGATAAAAGCATGTTTTTTAAGGTTAAAAATCAATACCGTTTTCCCAGGGTAGTTCATAGAATTGATTATCAGGAGTGATGGGGCTGTCAAAATCTATAGTCTCTTGGTTAGCAGATTTGTTTGTGAAGCATAAGCTATGTAGTCCTTTTCTTCCTTCAATCCTCTCCTCTGAAGATCCATTCACCTGTACAATGATCTATAAATAATCAAAAACCTCGAAACGTGAATCAATAACCATGGCTCGAACCCTAATTTGAGATAAGCAGGTTTTGACAAGGTACGACACATAAACTCTAACTCATGAGTCGAAGTAAGTTGTTACTAAAAGATCAATGCAAAGAGATGAATTGGTATTGCTAACGAATCCAACCTTATGAGAAAAGCAATCTTCTTTGTCAATCATTAACTTAATCTCGAACTCAGCCTCAGATGAAACCAATAAAGTCACCATTACGATAGTTAACCAAACTCTTAGCATCATATGTTCTTCTTAGTTGACGCTTTTTTCCTATCTCTTGTGGAAGGATTTTTTTTAAGAACCAACAAAATTGCAAAAATTGTTCGATTTATACACTAAGATATATATATATATATATATATATATATAATTTAAATTTGTGATTTAAAAGATTTGGGATGAAGAATATAGAAAATAATTGACAAGATTTCTTTTTATCATATATAGATTTAATGATTTACGAAATTAATCTTTTGTTGAAAAATAATATGGATCAATTAATAAATATTTATTTCCATCCATTTTAAAATTGAGATTTTAAATTATTTTCATTTTTATTTATACCTTACCGTTTTATTTAATATAAATAAAATAATTTAGATTTTTAAACACTCATTATTTTATTTTTATTTTAAAAAAATTTTGGATTCGAAAAGATTTGAGTTTCAAGATTTTTTTATTTATTTGAATATAAGAGTTTTTAAATTTTTTTAATGTACCATTCATTTGGGACCGAGCTTATTGAATCTATATTCTATAATTCTAAAATAATGAATGAAGACGAAGAATTAAAGATGTCCACGCAGGTAGAGATAGAATAACCTTTCATGTGACATTATGTTGTTTTTATTCGAGAGTTGTTTAAATCGAAATTATTAAGTCGATGTTTAAGTACGTGAGTGTTTAACGTAAAGTTTAACTTTATATCAATTTTCTATAATATCATCGTATTAATTAGAATTCTGCTTCATCGATTTTTCAAATTTTAAAAATTTTAATTAATAATATTTGTTCCAATCAATTCTAAAATTGAAATCTTACCATTTTAATTATTTAAACGGAGGCTCGATGATACTTTGTTCAAGAATATAATTATTGGAAATATGACCAAAGTCCTATCGTAAGAAAATGGACAATATCGTACTATTAAAAAAAAGACGAAAATGTAAGCTTTTATTGCCCAAACTAGCATTGAGGATTAGACCCTTAATCTTTTAGTCGACTATATATATATCAATTAAATTATATTAAAATTAACGACATTTAATTTCAAATCGGGCTCGTAATTAAAAAATGGATAATGATTATATAGATATGAAAAGTTTAAGTTCCGAATTAGTGGATGATGACGAAGGGAGTGGCAATGCCATATGTAATGCCGACTCATAGAACGACAGAGACAAATAGAGCTTAGAGCTTAATAGAGCTTACGCACATTTTTGTTAATCCATGAACATGATTTATATGGACACATAGGCCATGGATCTATACAAAGAATTGGAATTGATCGATATATTTCTCGGATGCTTTTTTTTTTTTTTTTGGCATACAACAAACCAGAAATTTAATTCGGTAGAGTTTCTATTAAAAAACAAAAGTTTATTACTTAAATTGCCTTCCTATACTAAAAAGGGACGAATTTGTGGTTTAATTGTTCATTAATTAGGTGGATAGATAAGAGAACGAAGTACTACTAATCATCATATATTTCAATATAAACATCTTAATATGGTATTCTCGAAACTTTTAGTACACTGACCTAGTAACCTAAATTTGAACCCGACATAATTTAAAATTATTATAATTATTAAATTAATCGTTGTTAACCTAAATTTGATTGAGGCTTAGCTTAGAAGGATTATCAAACGCTACTTTTAAAAGTTAAAATTTTTTTTTTTGTAAATTAATATTTACAAATTTTTATTTTAAACATCAAATCGTCTTAAAGACATATTTAACCGGTCCAATTCAAGGACATGTGAATTTTGTATTACCATGTTTCAACTTATTTTTTTAGGATAGGACTGTATAACTTTTAGGGTCAAATTACAAAGAAAAGAAAAAAAAAACTTAAAAATATTGAAAACCTTAACGATCTTTACATTCTCTAAGCTTAATAAAAGTCAAAACATATCAGATTCAAAGTTTCTCGTAGAAAATAATTCGAGACTATAAGTTACACAACAACAATAAAAGTCAGGGAGGAAAAGATTGAAACGAGCGATGGAGGGCAAAATCGGAATACAAATTTTGTTCTCTTTCCTACTTTTTATTATTTTTCTTAGGTTATTATATAAAGTAAACATCATAAATAATGCCAACCCATATGAAGACCAAGCAAGGAGAGGAGAATATGATAGCTCCATGTAATAAAGAAACAAGGGCTTTGTCCCATGTCCATGTTGGTCTCACAAAACAAACCCTTTCCACCCTCCCACCTTTTTCCCTATACATTTCAATTATAATCTTCAAAAGGAGGGAAAGATTTCAATACAAAATGATTGAAATAAAACCAGAATTCATATATTTCTTGTTTTTTCAAGTATAAAGTGGAGTGGAGCCATGATCCTCTGAAAGGGACTCCACCCCATTGTCTATGAGGCCTTGCTCTCTAAATCCTTCAAAGGGTCAATTGGATCCATGATGTGGGTCATGATTGTCCATTATTAGGTGAAAAAGATGAAAAAAATTTGGAAAAATCACAGCGAAGGTCACGCCCCAGCATGGAGGACATTGTAGAGGATGATCCCTCTTCTTCTGACTCTTCTCTGATATAAAATTTGTCTGAATCAGCCATTTTTGATTTGGAGCTCCATCGAAAAACACTCCCCCTTCTCGATTCGATTCTGGGTCTCACGTATTGTATCGTTTTAGGGATACCCTTTTGCGATACGATTGTTTGGCACTTGTTTTTGGTTGAAGAACTACTGAAGGAATCCCTTGTTTTCTGTTTTTTAGGGTTCTTTTTTTAAGATCCTTTGTGGGGTTTGGATTTTGGGGATGTGGGTTTGTGTGTTTGATGGAGCTTCTTCGTGGACATGGTGGAGTGACTCTTCTTTTGCTGGTTTCGTGTGGCTTTTTGATCGTTTCTAGGGTTTGATATCGTCTTGGCTTTTGGCTTAGTAATTTTGAGGTTTGTTTCTAGTTCTTCGTTTGATTTCTTACCTGTTCTTATGAGTTTTCTTTTGTTTGCATGATTGTTCATCAAATATCTCTCAAATTGTTGAGTATCCATGATGGTTTTGGACTGGCATGGGTTCGTACTTAACTCCGATTGATTGATACTTCTCTGGATAGTTAGTTCATCTTGATCTTGATATTAGTTTCATGATATTGTTGTGGATCACTGACCATAATCTGGATTTTAGTTTCATGATCTTCTGATCTTTTGTTGATTGTTGTGTTTGGTGGGAGTTTGGTAAGTTTTTCGTGCTTCGTCGAAATGAATGATGGGGTTATGAACATGTGCAGCCATCTTTCTATGTTCTTAGAGATGATATAATTCAGGATTCGAGTGGATTGGATGTCTCTGTAGCTGTGAGTTGTTCGTGCGTTGTTCGTTTGAACATGATGTTGATTGTTTCTAACAGGTGTGATTTACGTCGAAACTGAAAGGTATAATGGGTGTGAAGGATCGTCAAATTGCGACGAACTCGCCTAATGCGAAAGTAGAAGTAGGAGAGATCGACACTAGTGCACCGTTCCAGTCTGTTAAGGATGCTGTCAATTTGTTTGGTGAAGGTTCTTTCTCGGGGGAACGAGTGATTATGAGGAAGGCGAAACAACCTCATTCTGCAGAGGTGGTTATTTTCGTGCATTTTAAGTCGTTCGTCTAGTAGCTTTTTGTTTGAGATTTTATTATCTTCCGAAAGTTTGATGATTTTTTCGGATTCTTGTTGGTTACAGAGAGTGTTTGCAAAAGAGACTCAACTTCACTTGGCCGAAAAAGAACTGAACAAACTAAAGAATCAGCTAAAGAATGCTGAAACGACCAAATCTGAAGCGCTCGTTGAGCTCGAAAATGCTAAAAGAGCTGTTGAGGACTTGACCAAGAAGCTACAATTGCTGAGGGAATCGAAAGAATCTGCCGTGAAGGATTCGGAAGCTGCCAAGGCTCGAGCGAAGCAGTTTGAGGAGACGAATGGAAACAATCATTCGGGAAATAATTGTGGTTGGAAACAAGACTTGGAAACGACCCGAGATCGGTATATGGTAGTGATCGGAGAACTAGATGCTGCAAAGCAAGAATTGAGGAAAATCCATCAAGATTCTGATGCGTCGTTGGAAGCAAAAGTAGCTGCTTTGAAACAGGTGACGGAGGCCGAGGAATCAGTCGAAACACACAAGGTGAAAGCAAATGAACTTTCTAAGGAAATTTTAGCTGCACAGGAATCCATTGAAAAGCTCAAGCTAGCATCCCTTCAAGCACATAAAGAACAAGAACAGATATTTGTTGAGAAAGATATCCAGAGGAAGTCTTATAAAGCAGCTCTTGAAGAGTCGGCGAAAAAATTGTTTTCGTTACAGAAGGAAATCGACCCTGATGTCACGAGGAATCTTGAATTGCAGTTGAGTGAGACGATGAATGAAATTGGGGAACTGCAGAAACAAATGGACGATAAAAAGGCGTCGGATTTAGATTCGGTGAAGAACGTCACATCGGAGCTTGATGATGCAAAAGAGTCCTTACAAAAAGTAGCTGAAGAGGAAAGATCTCTCCATAGCTTGGTTGAAGCTTTGAAGTTGGAACTCGAGAATGTGAAGAAAGAGCATTCTGAACTCAAGGAGAGAGAAGTGGAGGCCGAATCTACTGCTGGGAATTTGCACGTCGAGCTCCGAATGAGAAAATCTGAACTCGAAGCGTACCTCGCAGAAGAATCTAAAGCAAGAGGTGCTTGTGAAGATATGCTTTCAACTCTCAACCAGCTATCTTCGGAAACCGAAAATGCGAGACGGGAAGTGGTAGAGATGAAAAATAAAGCCGAAGAGTTGAGGAAGGAAGCGGAATCCACTAAAATAGCATTGGAAGCTGCTGGGAAGCAGCTGAGAGTTGCACTGGAAGAAGCTGAAGAAGCAAAAACAGCTGAAGCTAGAGCCCTTGAGCAGATTAAGGTACTCTCAGAGAGAACGAATGCTGCACGAGCTTCGACTTCCGAGTCGGGGGCTAACATCACTATCTCCAGGGAAGAGTTCGAGTCATTAAGCCGGAAAGTCGAGGAGTCCGACACATTAACCGAAATGAAAGTAGCTGCTGCATTAGCTCAGGTTGAAGCCGTGAAGGCTAGCGAAAATGAAATTCTACAAAGGTTAGAAGCATCCCAGAAGGAAATTGAGGATATGAAGACAGCAACTGAGGAAGCTTCAAAGAAAGCAAAGATGGCAGAAGCAGCTAAGAAGGCCGTGGAAGGAGAGCTAAGACGGTGGCGCGAGCGAGAGCAGAAGAAAGCAATCGAAGCTGCATCAAGAATTTTGGCTCAAACGTCGGTGCCTTTGGAATCACCTCCAAGCCACAACATGATTCAAAAGCAGAGCACATCAATGAAAATGGTGTCGAGAGACAAAACATTCTCAAAGAAGGTACTCTTACCAAACCTTAGCGGCTTATTTGTTAGGAAAAAGAACCAGGTCGACGGTGGATCGCCGTCCTACCTGCCCGGCGAGAAGTCTGTGTGACATTTTCTTGAAGTATTCAGGTGAGTAACATATAATTATTGTGTGTACATTTGTTGCCTGCAAATTTGTGTTCAGGTAACCAGAAATGATGGGTGATTTTGTATATGGGATGGTTTGTTAGATCATCGATCGAAGCATATCGTATCGAGATTGTCTATCAGCTATCATTCGCTTGGTTTGTTGTAAAAAATCTTATCCTCTTGGACCATATGCACTTGGATGGTTTGTTGTAAAAAATCTTATCCTCTTGGACCATATGCACTTGGATGTTCGATTCATGAATCTTTTAGTTTGAGAAATCAAAATAAGAGCATCGAATATCATTTCATTATATGGCCATCTCGAACAAGACCGCTTAAGCGTTAGAGATGTGTCGGGGAACCAATGGCAGGAGATAGTGTAAATAAACTTTACATTAGATATGTAGTAATAGCACAGTAAGTAGGGTTGTAGTTGCCATATTCATAATTCTCCATTGACTTGATGAAGGCCATTCGTGGAATAGCTGAGTTCATTGTGCTTTTCGAGCTTATGGAACTCTGTTTCTATGGTTTTGGCAATTTCTAGATCTCTTGGATCTGGTTCAGGGAAATCCACATGAAATGATCCTTGTTTGATTGGTACAATCGGCTCCCTAACTGCACCTTGCTGCTGAATGTAACTGTAGAGCTGCTGATGAAATGCACTGTCTAAGGAGAAACAGTTTTCTGTATTTCCGTTCTTGGCGTATCGAGATGATCCCGACCTTTCTTTACGACAAAAATGTGGTAGTGAATCCATTACCTGCAGATGAGTTGCAAACATTAAAGGAAAAAACATTGATGTAAGGATGAAATTGCAAGCTGAATCCCAACAGGTTGGTTGAGACTGTGGCGGTGTGGCTGCGCAAGGAAAAGGTATTGATATTGATGCAAAGATGGGTCTAGCAAAGTACGGGATTAGGGTGCCCCCACAGCTGCATGGGGTGGGGTAGAATAAGTCCTTTCCTGTAAAGGAGCGAGTTGTTCTTGAGGAACGAAGCAACTTGAAAGGTATTGATGCAAAGATCATCAAGCCTCAATGGTGGGATAGCCGTTCCTCTAGGCTTCCCTTCCATCTTGATGGGCATCCCCACAACTATTTGGGTTGGGATAGCATAAGTCCTTTCCTGTGAACGAGTGAGCTGTTCTCGAGGAACGAAGTAACTTGAAAGGCATTGATGCAAAGATCATCAAGCCTCAATGGAATGAGTCTAGCCAAATATGGGATATAGCTGTTTGGATAGACTTCCCCGCAATGTTGATGGGCGCTCCCATACTGCTTGAAGTGGGGCAGCAAAAGTCCTTTCTTGTGAAGGAGTGAGCAGTTATCGAGAAACAAATCAACTTAACTTATAGTTTACGAGGGGATAAAACAAATCAACTTAACTTATAGTTTACGAGGGGATATCCACAGTTGATGATCGAGAATATAGATCATGGAGTAAGAAATACTATGACGATCCATATCATAGTGGGGAAAAGTAAGAACAGAGAAAGCAAGCTTGCCTTTAGTAGTTCATCTCGCCCACAATTCTGTAGCACTTTGATTTTCCTCCTTGTTCTCTCTTGCAAAAGAGGTTTTACGACCTGTCAGCAAGGACAATAAATCATATTCATATTCCCTGCAGATGGCCGGCTTGATATTGCAAGTATATTGAGAATACTTCTCCAATATGAATTAAAATAGGCACACACCATCCAGCACGCAGAAAATACACATGGAACGTTTACGATGTAGTAAGCATCGGTCTTCTCGGGATAGTTTAAGTCGTCAATGGTCGATATGACAGTTAGAAGCTGCAGTTGCCAAGATTAAAAAGAAACAGGTGCCTATGTGTCAAAATTTTGAGCATTTGATTCCAAAAACTGTGCTGAAGGTAAGAAAATGGTGTTCTGTGACGTATAAGGACCTAAGAAGTACACCTTTACTTGATTTAATGCTGAAAGCTTTAACCCAGTCATATCCAAAACCTTGAGACAGGTGCCTATATGTCGTCCATGCTTCTTTGTCGCAGCAGGCTACAATAATCAGATTATGTTAGATTCTCTGTACTGTTCTAATCTTGTCAGAAATCTTTTAAAAGGTGTAACGGCTCAAACCATTGCTAGCAGACATTGTCCTCTTTGGATTTTCCCTAAAGATTTTTAAAATGCATCTGTTAGGGAGAGGTTTTCACACTCTTATAAAGAATGTTTCGTTCTTCTCCCCAACTAATGTGAGATCTCAATCCACCCCATTCGAGACTCAGCGTCCTCGCTGACACTCGTTTTCTTCTCCAATCGACGTGGGGCCCTCCCAATCCAACCCCCTTCGGGTCTCAACCTCCTCGTTGGTACATCGCCTGATGGCTGGCTCTGATACCATTTGTAACGTCCCAAGCTCACCACTAGCATATGTTGTCCTTTTTGGGCTTTTCCTTTCGAGTTTTCCCTCAAGGTTTTTAAAACGAGTCTGCTAGGGAGAGGTTTCACACCCTTATAAAAAATGTTTCGTTCTTCTTCCCAACTAATGTGAGATTTCACAAAAGGACACCGAACATGTGATATTAAAGAACATTTGTAAGTCACAAGAATGATTAAACGGTCTTAAATACTCACCAACACAACACGATCCCTATATTCATTCATTTGGATGTGTGACTGCACATAATAATGAACCTAGAACAAAAGAACCCATGTAAATATCTTCCGCACATAATAACAGATGTTTAGATTATATGCACATCGCACAATGTAATGAATTTTGTCATGGATGAACACAGTTACAAAAAGCTTCAAACCTGCAATCTGATGCATTTCATGTGTGCATATTATTTGATCATGTCTAAGAAGTTCAAGACTAGGTTTTGTATTCTCAAAGCTTTAAGAAAAGGGCAGATAGAGATGGTACACAAAGAAAAGAAAATCCTTACAGATGCCTTGTCAAATGTGCTTTGACCAACACCAACAGCTATCACAGGAAGACCCTGGAAACGAATATGTATATCAATGAGGAAGAAACAAGATAGCAGCTTGATCTAATTTTTGGATGCAAAATATAATAACACGAAATATAAATGCATTAAGGATCAAATGATGAAGGACAACATGATTCTATTTATGAACCTCTTTTGAGTATCCACACAGTCCCACCAGCTGAGAGTCTCGCACTGATCTGTATAACTCGGGGGGAACTATCGGTTTCTGTAATAATACGAAATATAAATTAAATGTTGTAGCACGTACGTTAAGCCAAGAGTAATCTTTAAGACTTCAATACATAGTAGTGATGAGACATATTGTACCACCTCTGCTTGCTGTTGTCAGTATGGTTAATTAAAAAAGACTCGAGTTTAGATACTATTACTTGTCCATGGTTTATAGAGAGATATACGGGCCTAGAGCATCATAATTATCAAAAGATAAACTGAAATTTAGATTCTTGAAATTTAGATTCTTGCCCAATGTAACCACCTAAGTTCACCGCTAGAAGATATTATTCTCTTTGGGTTTTTCCTTCCAGGTTTCTTCTCAAGGTTTTTAAAATGCGTTCGGCTACGGAGAGAGGTTTCCACATCCTTAAAAAGAATGTTTTGTTTCCCTCTCCAACCAATGTGAGATCTCACAATCCACTCCCCTTCGAGACCCAGCATCCTCGCGGCACTCCGCCCGATGTCTACCCCCCTTCGGGAATCAATGTCCTTACTGGCACACTGTCCGGTGTTTGGCTCTGATACCATTTGTAACGGCCCAAGTCCACCGTTAGTAGATATTGTCCTCTTTGGGCTTTCCCTTCTAGGCTTCCCCTCAAGGTTTTTAAAATGCACATGCTACGGAGAGAGATTTTCACACCCTTATAAAGAACGTTTTGTTCCCCTCTCCAGCCGATGTGAGATCTCACAATCCACTCCCCTTCGGGGCCAGCGTCCTCGTTGGCACACCGCCCGGTGTCCCCCTTCAGGGATCAACGACCTTGCTGGCACACCGCCTAGTGTATGCTCTGATACCATTTGTAATGACCCAAGTCCACTACTAGCAAATATTGTCCTCTTTGGACTTTCCCTTCTGGGCTTCCCCTCAAAGTTCTTAAAACGCGTCTGCTAGGGAGAAATTTCCACACCCTTATGAAGAATGCTTCGTTCGCCTCTCCAACCAACGTGGGATCTCACAATCCACTCCCCTTCAGAGTCCAGCATCTTCGTTGGCACTTGGAGTAAATGTAGGAATATGTAGGAATGAAACAGACAGACTACTATCACCAGTGCTAGCTTTTCCATTTTAAACTTAAATCTGTAGTCCATTTTCTTGATTCCGTGGCATTGAATAGGGGCAAACAAGATGTAAGACACCTCTCCTCCACCGTCCTGGCTTGTTTTTAATTCTATTTGTAATGATAATTTCCAGAAAAATGACCTTTTAGCTCTTCATACATAGTTTATCATTGCCATATGAAGCTATAGAGGCATATCTTGTAATGATTGTCTCTACATTTATATTTTTCAATGTTCGTTTAGTTTCAATAGAAGGAAAAGGAAAGAAGCAGCAGCAGAAGAAGAAGAAACTCACTGCCAATATGTTGTCAATCTCATTTTGTATCCTCCAATGTAGACAATCCATTAACTGAAGATTCCAAAGCAAAACAAACAAATAGTGAGACAGAGACACAAAATGTTAAGGGAATTTAACCAAATTTTGAAACTAATACACTGATCTAACCATTTTATGGGCTTTAGAAACATTCCAGTCCCTCGCCTTCAGAAAGCGTTCCAAAGTTTCAGCTGGATGACCTTGATGCATATTCTGGAGATCATAAGACACTCAATTTAGTAAATTATTCAATTCAAGTTGTTGTAACAGCCTATATCCGGCCTATATCCACCGCTAGCAGATATTGTTTTCTTTGAGATTTTCCTTTTGGGATTCCTCTCAAGGTTTTTAGCTAGGGAGAGGTCTCCACACTCTTATAAAGAGTGTTTCGTTCTCACAATCCACCCCCTTCGGATGGGACTCTCACCAAATCCACCCCTTCAAGCCGAGTGTCCTTGCAAGCACATTGCCTCATGTCCACCCCTTTGGGGCTTAGCCTCCTTGCTGGCACATTGTCTAGTGTTTGCCTCTGATACTATTTGTAACGGCCCAAGCCCACCGTTAGCAGATATTATTCTTTTTGGGCTTTTCTTTTCGGGCTTCCCCTCAAGGTTTTCAAAACGCGCTTGATAGGGA